CCTAGGACTGGACAGTCGCACGGATGTCTGCCTCTCTGAGAGCTGGTGTCAAGTGTCTCGGGGTTTTTAAACGTGATCGCGGCAATTACCCTCAAGCCCTGAGCCACTGGGGGAGGGGATAAGACAGGACGGGAGTCCCAGGGTGGGTCTAGGTGAGTTCCTCCTCTATGGGATTTAGGACCCCTTCCCAAAGACTAATGCTGCCGCCCCCCACCCCAGCACTCCGAGAACCCAAAGCTAGAGATCATTCCCAGTGAGGGAGGCAGGCACTCAAGGCTGGAGAATGTTCCACAGGGGTCAGGAAGAGCTAGTACCATAAATTCCAGTGGCACCCACGAGGCAAGGGCTGGATACTGGGCCCAGATGCCTCAACTCCACCTGGGTGCACTGCCCATCCGGACTGCATCAGACTCCTAAAGAGATGACTGCAGCTTCCCAAACCACCCAAAGCCCCAGGACACCATCCTTACACCCCACAAAGCTACTCTGCCCTGCCCTCTCCTTCCCCACCACTGACAGCTGGCGCCTGGCTGCCATTCCTGAGCCCTGCTGGCCTCGGTGCCCAGGGAAGTAAGAGAAGAGGTTCCTGTGGCTTCTGATGGGGGTGGTGTCCACAGACTCCTCCCTGGCTGGTCACCCCCTCATTTCTTCCCCTGGGTACACAGGACTGCTGTCTAGACCCCTGCCCAGGGCATGCTTCTCTGCAAAGCCCTCACAGACCAGCCAGACAGCAGTGCCTGCGGCTGAAGGATGTCCACCATCCCAATATCCCACCCTCCGGTTCCTACAAAGCAGTGGGGGAGGGGTCAGAGCCCTTGTCTAGGGCAGCACTTCCTCCTTATTTCAAGACACTTTGAGGCACACATGTGTGTCTGGGGTCTCTCCTCCAAAGCAGGCAGCACCCTGGCCTTGCAGATGTCGGCAGTGCCAGGACTGTGCAGCAGGCTGCTCTGCTGGACACACAGTGCAGGGGCAGCAGAGCCCTCCACCAGTGCACCCCTGTCTTCTTAGAGCCTGGCATCTAGGAGGCACTCAAATGTATGCTGCAGGAGTCAGGTTCCATGACAACCTGCCACAACCCAGGAGAAGTATCTTAGACATCTCCCATGTTAGCAGAGCCCCTTCCAGTGCTCCCTCCTTGGGAGCCTTCTGGCCCAAGAGCCAACTTGCTAACTAAAAGCATATTACTGCAGGCGATTAACATTTCATAAGACAGTAGCAACCATAGAGCCATCCAACAGGCAGGCTGGGTGTGTGTTTCCAAGTATCCCAGGGCTTTGTGGGAATAGCATTTCAAGTGAAATAGTTACTGAGTGACCGTCTCTGACGAAATAGTGGTGCCCACATCGCCTGGCAGTGGCTCTTACCTTTCTGGAGAAGAACCGCATGCTTCCCAAGAAGGCCATTCCATCTGCCAGGATGCCATGCAGCAGCAATTATGCAATAGCTTTTCCATAAAACAGAACGGCACTTGGCTGTAAAACCTAAACACAGCAGGCACTGACCTCAGCTGAGAGTCATGTCAAGTTCAGACAGAGAAAGTGCTCGTACAGACAGTGTTCATGGCATGGGCATCATGCCCACAGCAAAAAGCTCCTGCCCTGGAGGCCAGGAGAAAACCAT